GTTTTCAGGCATCAATGATCTGGATTATCGGCGAATATGCAGAAAGAATTGACAATGCTGATGAGCTTCTCGAGAGCTTCCTGGAGAGCTTTCCTGAAGAGCCTGCACTTGTACAGTTGCAGTTACTCACTGCAACAGTCAAATTATTTCTTAAAAAGCCAACTGAAGGTCCACAACAGATGATTCAGGTCTCTTAAGATTACTATCCCTGTTTCCTAGTTATTAAATTTGTTCATTTCACACTGATAAATGTACATTTAGCGCCATTTTGCATGGATATCTCCTCTTGTTGAAGATTGCATCTGTCTTTGCAATTTCCATATTCTCTGTATTTCTTGATTAAATTAGCACTTTATTCTCTTAATACAAAGCAGATCCTCAAAGTACTTTGTTTAGCTATTTCCCATTTTATTGTTTTCAATCTCTGCACAGGTTGTTTTAAACAATGCCACTGTGGAGACAGACAATCCTGATTTACGTGACCGTGCATACATATACTGGCGTCTTCTTTCTACTGATCCTGAGGTGTGTAGTTCAGAATCTATAGACTAACTATAAACATATGAGGTTTAGATTATCATATTATTTACTTTAACCATTTTTGGTCCTTTGCCTCAGGCTGCTAAAGATGTTGTTCTTGCCGAGAAGCCAGTAATTAGCGATGATTCAAACAACCTTGATCCCTCCCTACTTGATGAGCTTCTTGCAAATATTGCAACCCTGTCTTCTGTTTATCACAAGCCTCCAGAAGCATTTGTCAGCCGTGTAAAATCAGCTACTTCTAGATCAGATGAGGATGACTATCCTGAGGGGGGTGAAACAGCATATTCTGAATCACCTTCTCATGGAATCAATAATGCACATACAGCTTCACATGCTGCTCCAAAGCAGCCAGCACCAGCTCCAGCACCCCCTGCACCAGCTGCTCCGGTACCAGACTTACTCGGTGATTTGATGGGCATGGACAACGCACTCGTCCCTGTCGATCAGCCGTCAACTACTTCAGGGTAAGTTACCTTAATTTCTTCATGATTTGGTCAAGTTCTTCCCCACAATTCACAATATGGATTGTTCATTTATCTGTACAGGCCTCCTTTACCTGTTTTACTGCCAGCATCAACTGGCCAAGGCCTACAGATTAGCGGACAGCTTCTCCGGCGGGATGGGCAAATCTTCTACGGCTTAATGTTTGAGAACAATTCACAAACTGCACTAGATGGGTTTATGATACAATTCAACAAGAATACATTTGGTCTTGCGTCTGCTGGACCTCTACAGGTGATGTGCAATTCTTATAACTGTAATGGTGAAATAGTACTTTTTTGCTGCATTTATACCGACCTTCTGCTTTGTCTTTTTTTTTGGGTTCATTAGGTTGCTCAGGTGCCACCTGGAGGGGCTGCTAGAACTCTTCTGCCAATGGTCATGTATCAAAATCTATCACAGGGACCCCCGGGCACTCTTCTGCAGGTTGCAGTAAAAAATAATCAGCAGCCAGTGTGGTATTTCAATGACAAGTTTTCATTGCACGTGTTCTTCTCGGAGGATGGTAGAATGGAACGCACAAGCTTTCTGGAGGTAAGTAATCTGATTCTAGCTGGTATATTTCCTGAGTGAAAATTTTCTGTGATCCAAAATGATCTTTTTTCTTATAAAAGCAAAGTAGTCCCAATCATGTTGTAGCAGCTAGATTAACGTCACCATTTCTTTTCTAATATCATTTTTTTATTTATGTTGTTAAGCAAGATAGCCATAATGAAAGCATAATATTTGCACATTAGTATTGGAAAGAGCATCTTACTTATTGTCCTTTGCATTTCAAAACAAGCAACTGGTTTTTTTCTTCTGAAATCTTCCTCTTTGGTATGCCTGCAGACATGGAAGTCTATTCCCGATACAAATGAGATTGCAAAGGACCTCACAAGCGCCATCATCCAAAGCATAGATTCAACCATCGAAAATTTGGCCGCATCAAATGTATTCTTTGTGGCAAAGCGAAGGAATGCAAATAAAGAAGTTTTGTACCTAACTTGCAAGGGTCCTAAGGCTGTTCCCTTCCTGATAGAGCTCACAGCTGCTATTGGCGTTCCAGGTGTGAAATGTGCAGTGAAGACACCGAGCCCTGAGTTGGCACCCCTCTTCTTTGAAGCAATGGAGTCACTTCTAAAGTAAATGTTATAGCTAATTCTTGCAGCTTGTGTAAGATTGTTGAATGACTTTTTTTTTTCATCATTGAGTGAATCATGGTTTGTAATTTTTGTTTTTATTTCTTGTTTTATTGTAGACTAGTACTTCGACTTTATATCCTGAATATAGATATTGTCATGATTCTTGTCAATAAGTTTAATATTTAGATGTGGAAGGGTTCAAAACCTCCTACTGCCTTTCGTGTTGAAGACCGTGGAACAGGATACTTGGCTGCAATCTGGTTTTTCTTTTAAAGAAATCTGCAGACTGCACATTGTAAAATAGTGACTGTGACGTTCTTATGATTCCCTTAATCTGGTTATGGTGAAATTATGAATCGTTTAATGCTTCTAAATTCGATAATTTTTTTTATTAGTTAATCTGTTCTTTTTCACCCTGGAAAGATATCCTTGGTCGCAAGCAGAGGAAGATCTGTGGCTGTAGTTAACGAGCGAGCAATTTCCTCCCAGCTTCATCAAGGTATGCCCCTCTTTGGTTATGTTTGGTTCCATTGTCATCCATATGTGATGTGGCGACGCTTGGATCGACGACGAGTGGTGATGTTGGCAAGGGAAGTGGAGAAAGAAGTGCAGAAGAGGAGGAAGGCTGTTTCAAGAATGAAGGAGCTTGTGAAAGGGCTGCTGCTGCTAAGAGTGCTAAAGGAGGGATCAAGGCATGGAAGGTAAGCATTCTATTTGAATAAATTTTAAGTGCTTGGTTTTACTTTTCAGAAAACTGTCATGAATTTGGTGAGTTTTTGTTACCCATTACTGTCATTTGACTAAATGTTCATGTTACTTGTGCTTAATATTGTACGACGAATTAGCCAGGTTAGTCTCATATTCAAAAGCACTGGGCAAAAGTATGCGACTTGCCCACGAATGGGCAAAAAGTTGGTTTTCAGAACCTTAGTTAACAGCCTCTTGTAGATTTCTGTCAACAGCTAGCTTCATCGTAGTTATTTCCAAGGATAAGTCTCACAAATCTGCGTGAACTTTGGGGGTTTTGCTCGATCTAACGTATACCCTTTATATCAGAAAAACTACCATGACCTTTCAATACTGTAGAATATGGAAAATTGTCGCTAACGGGTTAACTTTTTTAACGGAAGGTCTAAACCACTGATATTTATTTTTATCAACTCAAAAAATTCACAAGAGAAAATATATATATATATATATATATATATATATATATATATATATATATATATATAGAGGTAAACTTGTGTCAACTTAAGTGGACGTCCACTAAGCTTTCTTAGGCCATTTTGATGCTTACTTGATTGAGCTACTTTATGGATGATGACGCTCCGTTGAACCTTGATCTACATATTCTAAAACGCCCAACACAATCCAAAAATTTGGGTGAACCCAGTCGTGGTTGACCCTGCTGTCGAGCATGTAAAAAGTTCTAGTTCCATTTGAAAACCGTTAAAAAATTGATACGAAGTGGATGAAGGGTCAAACCATGACAGAGTTCAACCCGAAATTTGTGTGTTGGTGTTTTAGAATCATGTAGATGCAAGTTCAACGGAGCGATCATCCACAAAAGTAGCTCAATCAAGTAAGCTCAATGGCTAAAGACAACTTAGTGGACGTCCACTTAAGTTGACACAAGTTTTTACGTCATATTATATATATCATATATAATATATATATATATATATATATATATATATATACTATATATATATATATATATATATATATATATAGTATATAATATATAGTATATATATATATATATTATATATATATATATATATATATATATATATATAATTTTTAAAATAAACCCATTCAAACTTTTAATCCCAAAAATCGACCAACTCCAAACTTTTTTATCAAAATCGACCAATTTTCTTGCCACAGTCGGGGTTGCTAACCCCGACTAATTAGGACATCCGCCCAGCTCTCTCGCGATTAGTTGAGAGTAAATATTGCACAAAATGGTCGGGGTTGGGAACCCCGACCATTTCTAAACGCCATGGTCGGGGTTCCCAACCCTGACCATTTAGCAGAGAGTTGGCAGCCCACACAAAAAATGGTCGGGGTTGGGAACCCCAGCCATTTGACAGAGACCCTCCAGCCCGCACTTTGCTGGAAAATCTCATCTCCTACTAACACATATCAATCCACAAGTTTAACACCATCTATTGGTACATATTTATCAATCCATAATCAATTTCAAACACAAATAATTATTGCATATATAACATATCTTTAATAAAAACGTAACATTCAATTCACTTACTAAAAATCGAACATAATCAAGTCACAATAACATTTCAAACATAAACATCATAGCATTTCAAACATAAACATCGTATGAAGTATATCGAAATTTAACACATTTCAAACATAAACATCATAGCATTTCAAACATAAACATCGTATGAAGTATATCGAAATTTAACAAATATTTAGAACTACATCATAGCATTTCAAACATAAACATCGTATGAAGTATATCGAAATTTAACAAATATTTAGAACTCCCTCTCGCTCTCCCTCTCCCTCTCCCTCTTCTTCCTCTCCCCCTTCCCCGTTCACCTTCAACATGAGTCCATATGATCTCAACGTCCGGTTGTATGTGAACTTGTGAGCGCATGACATCCTCGTCGACTTGAACATGCTGTGAACATCCGGCTTGAGCTTGCTGTGAGCCTCCAGTTTCACCATGTGCATGACTTAAGCCTACTCTCGTGTGTCTTCGGACCCATCGACGCTCGTACCGTATGAATCGTTCCTCACATCCATCACGTTTCACATTACGTGTCCTCCTAAGAGCGGACTGAATCTTTCCTATGATGCAAAGGAATGCGTTCCTCGCCCCTGGCTCGGTAGTTGTTCTCAATGCATCATGTGCAATAGAAGCAACCTCATCGAGTTATTGTACCTATAAGATAAAAAGCAAAAGAAGATTATTAGCAAGTGGATGATAATAAAATAATAATCACAAAATAATTGTGTATTTTGCCTATATACTTATCAACTCTCTCTCAACTGGACATCTCGGTATGTACTCCTTATGTGCTTTGTTCTTCTGAAATATCCATCAGTGAGTAATCCCCCAATACCACCGTAAGTACACATCTAGGTCAGGTGCGTTAGCCCTCTCCATCAGTATAGCATCCTCCCTCAACTCTCAATTCTCAATGTAAGCATGACGAATTATTTCCCAATTTGCATGATGTGCTCCTTTTCGGGGATTTCGCTCTATTCTTTCTACATGATATGGAATATGTTGTTTTAATCCAAATTATCAGAGCATACGGTCAGGCACGTGCATTTTAACAATCTCAAAACATATAATCGGTACTCGAGCATGCCATATATCTTCGCATTCTCTACAAATATCTGGTAGTATGGCTGAGCATGGTTCGGTCCAAACCGAAAAAACCGACCGAACCGACCCGAACCGATCCGAAAAAATCGGTTTTATGAGTAGGGCGGTTCGAGTCGGTTTGAAAACTTTTTAACCCGAACCGACCCGAACCGACCGAATATAGTGTAATACTACCCATTCTGATCTCAAACCCTACCCGACCATCACCAAAGAGTCAAAAACTCAAACTCTAAACTCATTTTCTGGATTATTATGGGTTGAAAACAATATCATTATATCAGTGTTTAATGCTTCATAATCTTCTACTTTGTTGATATTTTTTTTCTTTAACACAATTTGTTGTTTGATAAGAAGTTTGATGAAGTTAGAACCGAACCGAACCGCACCGAACCGACTTGCAACCATTTGGTTCGGTTTTGAATTATAGGCGGTTCGGTTCGGTTGTTCAAATTTTGGTAAAAACCGAACCGAACCGACCGTTGCACACCCCTATCTGGTAGTGAAGCTAAAACCAGTTCATAGGTGTTGATGGCTAAGATCACACAATCAGTTCAATCCAAGCTGGAATGAAGTAGAGGAAATTGATGAAGGGGGCCACTTTCTTCCTTGACTTAAATCAAGTTATAAATATTATTAGTAAACTATAATACTTATTTCTTAGAAGAAAACAATAATCATTTAATTAAACAAGCATATCTTACTTCTTCAGAAGTCCAAATCAATATGAAAAACATACTTACAATTGTTAAAAATTCCCGACGGAAAAAGGTGGAATTCAAATTGAATTCTTCTGATTGTGAAAATAAATATCCTCGCTAAAACAAGGTCTAACAAAACACATAGTATTAATGCATTAAAACATAATGATGGTAATAGAATATATTAATACAAGCATAAACAATAAATATTATGAGTAAAACTGAACATATACTATTTTCTAAGATACAAATTCTTAAAGATTTTCCAATCCATACATGTATATGTCATGCTTTCTACATCAAAATAGAATATGCGGAAAATAATGATCAAATTCAAATTAAAGATACAAATGATAAAATATGGACTAATTATGAATTAGGATAAACAATATTTAAACATGTACATAATAGATTATCTCTAAAAAAACCATATATACATAAATTAAAATCACAACACATAATAAGAGGAAGTTAGTATGATAAAGTTCATTGTGTAAATATATGTGTGTATGTACATATAAAGCATAGTAAAGAAAATATACCTTCAACAAGATGATAAAGCTCATAAAAGTACTATCATGCTAATAATGTATTGTGAAATACTTTGTATAACTAACGATTTATTCCTTGAGATTAAAAAATTTAAAGAGCTAGAGAAGTTTTCTTTTTCACTTATTATTTTGCTTCATGCATTACAACTATATATACATATATCAGTTATAAGACTTTAACTCTAAAAGTCAAATGAGGACTCTAAAAGTCAAATGAGGAGAAGTAAATTCATGAGTTTATGAACATCCATAAATAGATTCATAACACCTAGCCATCTGTGAATAATAACTTCCAAGTATTCTCCCACCTGGTATAATAAATTCTAAGGAATTGGTTGAAATTATGACGACGAAGGGATATTATTTGTCTTTGAAATTAGCTAATCAAGAGTCTTCCTATTTCGGCATAATCTATTGATTAGCTGTTTTGTTTTTCAATCGTTGGTACCTCTAAATCTAATGAACTCTAAGTCTAGTTGGGCATGTGAGAGTGGCTGGGGACGGAACGTTCATTCCCACTTCACAATCATGCACATCAAACACAACTTCATTTTAGAAGTTAGAAGCTAGAATGCTTGTCCTCCCTT